AAAAAAAAAAAAAAAATTAACACATGTAAAATGTTAGAACATTGCTCAGCACAGAGTAAGCAGTCAGTAAATATTAGCTCATTCCTACTTCTATTCATTAGCCCATGCATATTCTTGCACTTACACATAATGCCAGCCTGCCTTCCTTTTTAGTAGCCTTATATAAGGCCAGCTTATTTCCTTTTCTCTGCAAAGACATCCCAAACTATCCTGGCCACAGAATAAGACTATAGACTTACTCTGTGAGCATCTTTAGTTACTTTAGTCAGTTCTACAACTTGGTCATTGTGTCTCATGGGTAATCACTTTTTCTTGCTGCTTGTTTCCATGATGTCTAGATTATAGCCCCCTTAATTTAAATGCTTTACATATTTCCTACCACAAAGTAAGGCTCCATAAATATCCAAGGGATTTAGTCTGTCCACTCAGTCTAATCAGTAGTTAGATCATCTGCTCTAGGTTACTAACCTTCACCTGGGAAATTAACTCTCAATGGCTCCCTTCCTGTTCTCTTTCCCAATGCTGGCATTGTCCCTCTATCAGAGTACTTACCACCTTATTTTAACATCTTCAGGATATATTTCTGTCTTTTTTTTTTTTGAAACAGAGTCTCAAGCTGTCACCCTGGGTAGAGTGCTGTGGTGTCACTGCTCACAGCAACCTCCAACTCTTGAGCTTAAGTGATTCTCTTGCCTCAGCCTCCCAAGTAGCTGGCACTACAGACGCCTGCCATAATGCCTGGGGCCGAGTTCGAACCCACCACCCTAGGAGTATGTGGCTGGTGCCTTTGCTGACTAAGCTACGGGCACCACCTATTTCTGTCTTCTTTACTACTGTCAGCTCAGCTGGGAAAGGGATAATATCTTAGTTGTCTTTGTAATCTCAATGTTTAGTACAGTGCCTGGCACATAGTTTTATAGATGCCACTTTATCCCTCACTGTTTCTTTTTGCCTTGGAGAACTCTCTTTGTTAATGTACTTTCCTCTGTTGGTCTTTATTCTTCTGAGTTGATCCATGTCCCCTCACCTCAACCCAGCCTGGGTACACCACCACCCTCCTTAGTTCATTGCTCCCACAGACTGTGTACAGTGCTCTGGGCCTAAGGGATGCCTGCCGCTCCTTGCCTCAGTCCATCCAGCTCTTTCGGGACATTGCCCAAGAGTTCTCTGATGACCTGCACCACATTGCCAGCCTCATTGGGAAGGTGGTGAGTGGAAGGAAAGAGGAGGAGGTTGGGAAGTGAGATGGGACTCAAGAGTGGAGAGAGACTAGGGCCTGGTTCTCCTCGGGGAAGGTGGTGTGGGAGAGGGGGAGGCATGGAAGATGTTGAGGTCAGTTAGGTGGTTGAAGGATAGGATAATGAAAGGTGGTAGAACTTCAGGGAAGTGCCTGGAGAGTGAAGGTAAAGCAGGACTGCAGGGAGAATTGGGGCCCAAGGAGAGCTGAGGAACAGGACATGGAGAGGGGGCTGGGTGCTAAGGACTGGATTTCTTATCTCCTCAGGTGGACTTTGAGGGCAGTCTTGCTGAAAATCGCTTCACAGTCCTCCCCAACATAGATCCTGAAATTGATGAGAGTGAGTGTTTGGTGTGCAGGAGTCTGTGCAGTGATGGGCACCATCCTTGGCAGACAGTCACCACAGCTGGGGATCTTCATAGCAACCAGGCAGAAACCTCAATTTTGATATCCATGTGTCTTCTACCCTTCTAGAAAAGCGAAGGCTGATAGGACTTCCTAGTTTCCTCACTGAGGTTGCCCGGAAAGAGCTGGAAAATCTGGACTCTCGTATTCCTTCATGCAGTGTCATCTACATCCCTCTGGTGAGGGCAGGAGAGTGGGTGTAGCCTCCAGGAGTCTTTTAGGGGAGATAGAAGGCCTATGAAGGATATATTAGTATATAAGAAAAATTTTAGGGGAACATAAAGAACATAAATGCCTTTTGGTGTGGATACAGAAGTCTCTGGGTTCCTCTAAGAGAGAAGGTGCCCAGTGAGTCTCACAGTAGGAGAGTAGAATATCTCTTTTCTCTCTCCAGATTGGCTTCCTTCTTTCTATTCCCCGCTTGCCTTCCATGGTAGAGGCCCCTGACTTTGAGATTGAGGGACTGGATTTCATGGTAAGACCTTCAACCTCTGTAGAGAAATGACAAGGAAAATGAATCAATACCTAATTGAGGGCCTTACCCCATTAGCAGTGCCCAGTAGGAGATAGGAGTCAGGGTGGGACAATAGAGGTGGGGTTAGAAAGGTGGGAGAAGAGAGGAAGACCAAGAGATACAAAGCCCACAACTTTGAACCTTTGTACCCAGTTTCTCTCAGAGGAGAAGCTACACTATCGTAGTGGTCGAACCAAGGAGTTGGATGCATTGCTGGGAGACCTGCATTGTGAGATCCGAGGTGAGGAGAAGCCAGTGAGTGGCTGGAGGGGGGTGAGCAGCTCAGGGATGCCTCTCTAGCTGCTCTGTTTTTCTTACTCTGACTCTGCATCTTTTCCTCTGAATGTCTCTGGAGTTTCAGATGGTACCTGTACACTTGTTTCCAGGCCCTTCTATAGACCTCTGTCTCTCCTTTACTTTTCCTTGGAGCTGACCCTCAGCTCCCTCCCTCATCCACCCCCAGACCAGGAGACCCTGTTGATGTACCAGCTGCAGTGCCAAGTGCTGGCACGGGCCACTGTCTTGACCCGGGTATTGGACCTTGCCTCCCGCCTGGATGTCCTGCTGGCTCTTGCTAGTGCTGCCCGGGACTATGGCTACTCAAGACCCCGTTACTCCCCCCAGCTCCTTGGGGTACGAATCCAAAATGGCAGGTGAGACTAGAAGAGGACGGAGGCATAGACACAAGGGGCTCAAAGGCCCCATATTCTGAGGTTCATCCATCTGGATCCATGGGCCATGTGAGGTGTCTTTCCACCACTGCAGACATCCTCTGATGGAACTCTGTGCCCGAACTTTCGTGCCCAACTCTGCAGAATGCAGTGGGGACAAAGGGAGGATCAAAGTCATCACTGGACCCAACTCCTCAGGAAAGAGCATATACCTCAAACAGGTGAGGAGTCCTACAGCCTGGGCCTCTGGCATCTTCTCCATCTTCTTCAACCCAGACCAGCTTTTCTCCACTGTGTTCTGACCCTACCTGTCATGAGGAGACCACTACCCACACCCCTGCTCTTCTACCTCACATGTTCTCATTCTCTAATGAACTAGAGCCACACACTAATGAATCTTTCCATAGCTTGAATTCCCTGTACCCACCTCTGAATAGGTACATGCCACCCCCTAGTGTGCCTCTGCCTACTCCCCTGTGCCTCTTTACTGACTCTAAATTCGGGGCTTTGATCAGGCTTGGGGGAGAAGAGGGACAATGTGCTCTATTTGCTTTTTTTCTCCTATGATACTGTATCCATTTCTCTTTGATCTATCATATAGATATCTATCTATCTGCCTCAGTTGATCCTCACTTTCACCTCAGCCCACCACATGAGGCCCCAGCCCTGTTTCCTCCCCTATTCAGGTAGGCTTGATCACATTCATGGCCCTTGTGGGCAGCTTTGTGCCAGCAGAGGAGGCTGAAATTGGGACAGTAAACGCCATCTTCACCCAAATTCATAGCTGCGAATCCATCTCCCTTGGCCTCTCCACCTTCATGATCGACCTCAACCAGGTCAAAGGGAGCAAAGGGAGGTGGGCTTGGGGAAGGGGATAATGGGGAAGGAACCCCTAAGAATGCTCAGAACAGGAAAGCAATCTCTGCTGTATTCCCCTATAATAGGGGCAGGGGGCACCCAGCACCCAGGCTGGAGGAATCAATTCCACAAACCTTTCTTCAATCCTTGCTTCTTGCAAGGTACTGTTGGCAGTGAAGGATGAAAATACATGCACCTTGGCTCAGCGCCTGTAGCTCAGCAGCTAGGGTGCCAGTCACATACACCAGAGCTGGCGGGTTTGAACCTAGCCTGGGCCTGCCAAACAACAATAACAACTACACCCAAAAAATAGCCAGGTGTTGTGGCAGGCACCTGACGTCCCAGCTACTTGGGAGGCTGAGGCAAGAGAGTTTGAGGTTGCTGTGAGCTGTGATGCCATGGCACAGTCAACATAGTAAGACTGTCTCAAAACAAACAAACAAACAAAAACCATGCCCCTCACCATTGAAGAACTAGTGCAGCAGGGTGGGCATACACAGCTCTGTTCATAGGCAGACTTTGGTCAGTGCATTATAGGCCTTGAATACTAATAAACTTTTCCTTGTCGACCTCATGCCCAGCAGGTGGCAAAGGCTGTGAACAATGCCACCGCACAGTCTCTGGTCCTCATTGATGAATTTGGAAAGGGAACCAACACGGTGAGGAGAGAAACTAATGAACTAAGGAGGGAAAATGGAGGATGAAGGAGGGTGAGGCTGAGGATGGGGCCGAGAAGAATAGGGACGTGTGGGTAGAAAAGAGAAATACAAGGTAGGGAAAGGCCAGAGTAGGTGCAGGGGGCATGGGGGCCCTCATGGTTCTGCACTTTCACTTATGGCCTCTGCACAGGTGGATGGACTGGCACTTCTGGCTGCTGTGCTCCGACACTGGCTGGCGCTTGGCCCCACATGTCCCTACATCTTTGTGGCCACCAACTTCCTGAGCCTTGTTCAGCTACAGCTGCTGCCACAGGGGCCCCTTGTGCAGTATTTGGTGAGGAAACCAATCTAGCCCACAGGATCCCCTGGACTGAGCATTTTCAGAGGAGAAACCTGATCACAGAGACCACATCCCTTTTCTCATTCCCCACAGGGACTGGCCAAGGGTTTCAGGGCCGGAAACAGGTGATTGAGAACACACTGTCCCCTTTTATTCTCTTTTAAGACCATGGAGACCTGTGAGGATGGGAACGATCTGGTCTTCTTCTATCAGGTTTGTGAAGGTGTTGCCAATGCCAGCCATGCGTCCTACACAGCTGCCCAAGCTGGGCTTCCTGACAGACTCATTGCTCGTGGCAAGGAGGTAATAAGATCTAAATATCCGTATGCCTCCACCTGAGGGCTTCCTTCCATTGGCCCTACTCTGCTTTTCTGGACCTACAGGATTTCTGACCCTTATTTTCTCTTCTCTTCCCCAACATCCCCTCCCCCTTCCACTTTCCTTCTTGTTTGTAGGTTTTAGACTTGATCCGCAGTGGAAAACCCATCAAGCCTGTCAAGGAGTTGCTGAAGGAGAAGCAAATAGAGAAGTGAGTGTGTTGCCTTGGTGTCTTTGCCCTCTCTAGCACCTTCTCCTGTAGCTCTGTCCTCCTTTGCAGGGACTCAGCCTTCTCCAGCATTTTGCCCTTCAAAAACTCATCATTACTTCTTTCTGAAATCCCTAAACTCTTCAAGGTACTGGGTTTCCTGGGCCACAGCCTCTCCCCTCTGCTCTGGGACTTGGTTATCCATACTCCCACATATCTTTTTTTTTTTGAAGACGGAGCCTCAAGCTATCCCCCTGGGTAGAGTGCCATGGCATCACACTCACAGCAACCTCCAACTCCTGGGCTCAAGCGAGTCTCCTGCCTCAGCCTCCCAAGTATCTGGGACCACAGGTGCCTGCCACAACACCTGGCCATTTTTTTGGTTGCAGCCATCATTGTTGTTTGGCAGGCCCGGGCTGGGGATTCGAACCTGCCACCTTAGGTGTATGTGGCTAGCGCCTTAGCCGCTTGAGCCACAGGCGCCGAGCCACTCCCACATATCTTGCCATTCTCTCTCCCCTTTAGCTGCCAGAGATTAGTGGACAAGTTTCTGAAACTGGATTTGGAAGACTCTAACCTGGACTTGGACATTTTCATGAGGCAGGAAGTACTGCCTGCCGCCACCACTATCCTCTGAGAGTCCTTCCTCTACTTTCCTTAACTTTCTGTGACCCTGATTGGCTGCCATCCCTCTTTGTTTCCTTATTTCCTTCAGACCTAGAGTTCTTTAAGAATAAAGTTTATTTTGGAGAAAGTTATTGTTTCCTGAAGCCAGCCAAAACAAAATAAGAATAGGAAAGAGCCAAAACACCAAGCAGGAGTCCACAGAGAAACCTGCCCTGCCTCATTAAAAATGCAGTGACACTGCTATAGGGAAACTCTGATTCTGCCCAAAGGGAAATCATGAGACCAAATCACTTTAGAGAGGCCCTACAAAAACAGATTAGAAGGAAGACATAGGGGCCCTGTGGAGGGAATGGTCTCTCCCCTTAAGTAGGAACATCAGCCTCAGACACACACTGCTGGAAGGGGCCTAAGAGACTGAAAGACAAGGCAGGATGGGTGTAAGGCAGGGGTGGAGGGGGAGGGACCAGGAGAGGCTGCACTAGTGGGAGTGGCTCCACCCTTCCCACCACAGAGCCATGGGGAGCCAGGGTCCTGGTGGGCTGCCCCTGGTGCAGGCTCCCTACACAGTTCTGCTGCTGCCACTGGGGACAAGCCGCCAAGACCCAGGGGCCCAGAGCTTCTTCCTTTGGGTGAGTATTACCCCAACAAGAGATCCCATGGGAAGCCCCTTTCTTTAAATCTGCCCTTTATATTTCCACTCCAGTTAAGGATCCACAAAGTCTTCCTGCCTACTCTCCTCTGGCCTCCAGGTCCTCAGTGGCCAGTCTGGGCTTACACTTAGTGACCAGACAGTAAATCCAACCAGGAATGGAGAGAAAGGTCTATGGTCCACAGCCCTGATGTTGTACAAGAGTCAGTCTCTGCTTCTTGTCTTTTCCAGCTGCAAAGGATGCAAGCTCTGGAGAGAGAACAGGATGCCCTATGGCAAGGGCTAGAGTTGCTAGAGCATGGTCAGGCCTGGTTTGAAGACCGTCTAAGGGAGGCACAGCAACAGCAGCTGCATCTGGGGGCCCTTGGTGAGGTATGGGGCTGCCCCTCTGTGTGAATGAGTGGCAGAGGAGGGAGAGTAGGGCATGTGTGGACACAGCCTGAGACTGCTCTGGAGAGGGGAGAGTTAATGGGCACAGATCAGGAACTGGAGGCAGCATCATAATGACAGGATGACACCAAGCATTATGTTGGTGTTCATTGTTGGGGCTGGAGGAGGCTAGTCTGCATTCCATTCAGAGGGATAGTTTGTATCACTCCATAGAGATAAGGGTGTGGCCTGGATTATTCCAATGGAGTGGGGATGGACAGGGAAAATCCATAAATAATAGGGAAAGGGGGAATTATGCTATCTCAGGGGATGGAGAAACTGAAATGATAGAGATTGAGGGGAACTTGGGTGGTGATTCATGCCCGTAATCCTAGCACTCTGGAGGCCAAAGTGGGAGGATCCCTTGAGCTCAGGAATTTGAGACCAGCCTGAGCAAGAGCAAACCCTGTCTCTACTAAAAATAGAAAAAATTAGTTAGGCATTGTGGCGGGCACCTTTAGTTTCAGCTGCTCTGGAGGCTGAAGCAAGAGGATTGCTTGAGCCCAGAAGTTTGAGGTGGCAGTGAACTGTGATGATGCCACTGCATTCTAGCTGGGGCAACAGAATGAGATTCTGTCTCATAAATAAATAAATAAATAAATAAAATGTAAATGGAGGGGGAGAGTATTAGATTTCCCCCCTGCTAGGGAGGATTTTAGGATGAGGGGATCCAGATGAGGACAGTCAGCCTAGGGTAGTAGGAAAAGAGTGGCAGGTGGACCTCAGGTTTTTACTATGTTGTCAGCATCCAACTCCTCCTTTAGAATTTTCTAACAGATTTACACCCAGATCCTGGCGGTCCCCAGTTAGCCCAGATTCAAAAGGTGAACATCTGTTTGCAGAATCTGATTCAGGGGAAGGTGAGTTTATTGTCTTTGGTTCAGACGTTTGGGAAGTGCAACTATTGAGGGGAATGTTGGGGTCAGCATTGGTTTAACAGAAAACACAGAGAATCTCCTCCCAGTTCTCCCCATGTCTATTGTACAAGACTAGTTCCTTTGCTCCCCAGGATTGGAAGGAAAGGCCATGGAAGCAGAACTTATGGCAGCAACAGGTAAACTATAGAGGTGTAAGGGGAGAGCAGAAGCCCCCGCCCCACAAGGTAGGGAGAGGCACAGACGCCCAGGTCATTTCTCTCTTCTTCTCCAGGAGTTCTCAAGGCAGCAGAAAGGAGTCACCCACCCAAAAGGGAAGAAGGCTCAACTGAGATGCCCCAAGGGACGAAAGGGCCCTACCCTTGTCTGAACCCTCCTTTCACTCTCCTTAGTCCTGGTGAAGGAGGACACTGAGTCAAATCCCCAGCCTCCTTATTCTGTTTCTTAACTCAGCAGCTAAATGGCTCCAGATAGTGGGTCCATAAAGTTCAGACCTCTTGGTGTAAAGTTTCTCCTCTGTTCCTGAAAACTTCCCTTTCATCTTCTTGGTGTGTCATGCCCGATATGATGTGCAAAAATTGTCTTTCTTTGAAATCCCTCTGGGAAGAAGATATGTTTATTGAAACTGTTCTTAAGCCTTAAATATAAAAATAAAACAGAAGCTTCTCCAGAATTTAAAATAAAAGCAATCTATAAATAACACTTTCTGGTACCTTCCTACTCCACTCCCAAACCTCATCTCCTCCCTGTTATCTTCCTATCTACCTGAGCCTGGGAAAGCATCAATAGTGGAATAAAGGTACTACAGAGAAATTGAAAATAAATTTTTCCAAAATTTCCTTTGGGGTGGCACCTGTGGCTCAGTGAGTAGGGTGTCGGCTCCATATACCGAGGGTGGAGGGTTCAAACCTGGCCCCAGCCAAACTGCAACAAAAAATAGCTGGGTGTTGTAGCAAGCTCCTGTGGTCCCAGCTACTCAGGAGGCTGAGGCAAGAGAATTGCCTAAGCCCAGGAGTTGGAGGTTGCTGTGAGCTGTGACACCACGGCACTCTACCGAGGGTGATAAGTGAGACTCTGTGTCTCTAAAAAAAATAAATAAATAATTCCTTTGGTTTGTTTCCCATAGGGTTAGGGAAAATGCATTGTGGGAAAATCCTCTGCCCTCTATCTCAATCTTACAGTTTTTAAGAAAGGCAAGGGACAAGTGCATGAGAAGGAAAATCTCCATCTTGGCTAGAAGAGATAAGGCTCCAAGGCCCCATGTGACCTTACCAATAAGGCAGATTGAAAGTAGGAGAGACCCATCCCTCCAGGGGCTGTTGCATCACCAGGAGGCCAGGCCTAGCAGAAGCAGCACTCCTCCAACTGTGCCCCACCAGAGGTTACCAGTCAACCTGCTCTCAGCCCTGTCCTGAGTCACCAAAGTGAAGGTACAAAAGACAGGGGTGGGTGTGGAGAGGACAGGGCCAGATGAGTGGGCAGGGGCAGCGAGCTGCTCCTAAGGGGAAGAGGGAAAGAACATCGGAGTCAACTAGAGCTGTATCCAAATTAAGCCTACCCTGCCCTCCCTCTCCCTCCCCTGCCCAGCCTGTGATGGAAAGTGGGGAAGCCTCACCTGCAGGGCTGGGGCCAGCACCAGGAGGCGCAAGAAAACATGGGTTGGGGGTACTGGGCTGCCTTCTTGACCTGCCGCAGTCACAGTCACCATCACCACGGAGTTCGAGGCGGCTGAGTCTGGGACCTCCAGCCATAGGCGGCCCCAGGCAGATTCATTCTGTCCCAGGCGAGCCCTGTAGGAAGGTCCCAGAAGTTTGGCTGAAGCCAGAGGCGGCCCTTAGCGGGGAGTCAGGGGCGGCGCCAATTGGAAGGGGCCAGGGCGGGGCTTGGGATAAAGAGCTTGGGCCAAAGTATCAAACCGGGTGCCCAGAGAGCCAAAAGGCATGGCCAGAAGGAGTTGGGTGGGGAGGTAGGCTCACTTGGATAGGTTGGAGGTAAGGGCAAAGCTGGGATTCACGGATGTCCTAAGGTCAAGATCCTGAGGGCCTGAGAAGCTGGCGATGTGGAGACTGAGCGGAACCTTGCTGCCCGGGGTCAAGAAAGTCTGGGGTCCGCTGAGCTGCAGAGTAGAATTGGTCAGGGCAGGAGCCACCCCAGCTCCCTCCAGCCGCACCTTCCCCTTACATCTCACCTCCAGAAGCACAGGAGCCACCATGCAAGGCTGAGGGGCTGTCCTGTGCAGATGCTGCCCCTTTCCATCCTGGCCAAACAGCTCCAGGGAGAAGGGTCCTGGGGTGGACAACAGCATAGGTGGCAGAGAGGCCACCAGGAGACCTCGCTCTGGAGGTCCCACAGGCTCCAAAGGTACTCGGCCCAGTTCGGCACCCTCCAATATCCCTCGAAGGATGACATGGGAGAAATGTGGCTGAGGATCCCCAGAGTTGCCTCTGGAACCCAATCCTGTCACTTCAACCAGTAGCTGGGTCTGGAGACCTGGGACCAGGGAAAGGGAGGGGAAAACAGTGGTCTGAGTGAGATTTGGTGACACAGGGGGAATGAATGGCTTTCAGAATAGGACTAAGGATATGGATAGAGAAAGGGGTTACCTGAGGGGTGCTAGTGGCAGTACCTGGGGTGGGGGAAATGTTCTATATCTTGAACTGGTGATGGTTATGTGGATGTGTTATATGAAATCCATCAAGCAGTATACTTAAGTTTATTGTACTTTACTATATGTAAGTTATAACTCCATAAAAAGATGTACATACATATGGATAGTATATGTATACATTTATATGTGTGTATGTGTGTATATATATATATATACAAACTGGGGAAAGGTCAGGGAATAGACATACCTGCAACTGGCTGAGTCAGGGGGTAAAGGCCAGGGTGGGGTCCATCCTCCACGGAGGTCCCAAAGTAGAAGAGGAAGTCTAGGGAGGTCTGGGCTGAGAGAGGCCAAAGGGATCAGACTTTCCCCAGAGGAATGTGACTGATCTAGCTCCCTGAGATCTGCAGTTTCTCCTTCCCCTTTCCAGGAATACCTTCCTCCTTACCTTGCACTCTCACCCGGGGGGTACCCTCAGCTGTGACCTGGATCTCCCAGGTTCCTGTCTGAGGGGGGTCATTCACAGTCACCATCCAGAACTGCCCAAAGCGGCGAGTGTAACCTAGAGAACCCATGCCTTCCTCTTGGCCCTGGGAGATCCCTGGGATCAGAGCAAGAGATTGTCATGTGAGGCTCAGTGCCTGTCACGCAGTGCTAATGGTGCTGGCCACATACACCAAGGCTGGTGGGTCTGAACCCCACCCAGGACAGCTAAACAACAATGATAACTGCAACAAAAAAATAGCTGTGTGTGGTGGCAGGCGCCTGTAGTCTTAGCTACTTGGGAGTCTGAGGCAAGAGAATCACTTAAGCCCAAGAGTTTGAGGTGGCTGTGAGCTATGATGTCATCTCACTCTAGAGAAGGCAACATAGCGAGACTCTATCTCAACAAAAATAAAAAATAGGCTCAGTGCTTGTGGCTCAAGTGGCTAAGGTACCAGCCACATACACCTAAGGTGGCGGGTTCGAGTCCAGCCCAGGCCCGCCAAACAACAATGATGGCTGCAACTAAAAAAATAGCCAGGCGTTGTGGCGGGCACCTGTGGTCCCAGCTACTTGGGAGGCGGAGGCAGGAGACTCGCTTGAACCCAGGAGTTGGAGGTTGCTGTGAGTTGTGAGGCCACAGCACTCTACTCAGGGGGACAGCTTGAGGCTCTGTCTCAAAAAAAGAAAAAAGAAAAAAGAAGGCGGCACCTATGACTCTAAAGGGTAGGGTGCTGGCCCCATATGCCAGAGGTGGCGGGCTCAAACCCAGCCCTGGCCAAAAAAACCAAAAAAGACATTGTTGGGCGGCACCTATAGTTCAGTGGGTAAGGGCGCCAGCCACATATGCTGAGGTTCACAGGTTCAAACCCAGTCCAGGCCAGCTAAATAACAACAATGACAACTACAACCAAAAAATAGCCAGGCATTATGGCAGACACCTGTAGTCCCAGCTACTTGGGAGGCTGAGGCAAGAGAATTGCCTGAGCCCAAGAGTTTGAGGTTGCTGTGAGCTGTGACACCATGGCACTCTATCCAGGGTGACAGCTTGAGACTCTGTCTCAAAAAAAGAAAAAAAAATAAAAGAGAGAGATTGTCAGGTGAAATGATTATCTTCTCTTAGTATACCTCCCTTGATTGTCCATTCCCCATTCCACTTCCCTCTGCCTTGAGACACAAGGAGGTACCTGCTGGGTTCTTGATCCAAAAATTGTTGATCTCCCCGTGGATACGAATTGTGACCTTCCGGAGCAGCCCATCCACACTGAACACATGGGATCTCCCAGGCACCATAACAGGAGGGTCTAGGGGAAGAGTCACCTTAAGGATCAATAAATGAGGGAAAAGATAAGGTATGGAATAAGATGGGAACAAACACAGGAGAAAGGTGGAGACAGAAAGAAACCAAGTCACACTTGGAGAAGGGATACCAGTGAAAGAGGGGCTCAGGGCCAGGGATGAGGTTATTATGGACAATGACAAAGCTGGAAGCAAGGAATTTAAAATGAGGCAATCACTTCTTTGTTTTTTTTTTTTTTTTTAGAGACACAGTCTCACTTTGTCACCCTTGGTAGAGTGCTATGGCATCACAGCTCACAGCAACCTCCAGCTCTTGGGCTTAGGCAATTCTCTTGCTTCAGCCTCCCAAGTAGCTGGGACTACAGGCACCTGCCACAATGCCTGGCAATTTTTTGTTGCAGTTTGGCCAGGGCTGGGTTTGAGCCCACCACCCTCGGTATATGGGGCTGACGCCCTACTCACTGAGCCACAGGTACCACCCAAGGCAATCCCTTCTTATTCCCCTTTAAAAGATGGCAAGCCGGCTTGGCCCCTGTACTCAGTGGTTATGGTACTGGCCACGTACACCAGGGCTGGCTGATTCGAACTCGGCCCAAGCCTGCTAAACAATGACAACTACAACAAAAAAGAAAAAAAAAATTTTAAAAGGCAGTGCCCATTGCTCAGCAGGTAGGGCCCCAGGCACATACACCCAGGCTGGCGGGTTCAAACTCGGCCTGGGCAGCTAAACAGCAATGACAACTGCAACAAAAAAATAGCTGGGCATTGAGTCAGGTGCCTGTAGTCCCAGCTAGTTGGGAGGCTGAGGCAAGAGAATCGCTTAAGCCCAAGAGTTGGAGGTTGCTGTGAGCTATGACGCCATGGCAGTCAATTGAGGGCGACATAGTAAGACTCTGTCTCAAAAAACAACAACAAAAAAAGATGGCAAGACTTTCTGTGTAGCCCTGGGGGGAGAATACTGGAGACCCAGGTTGGGGAGGGCTTTACTAATATGGAATAACAATTTGGAAAGTGGTAGTAGCTGATCTCAGAGGAAGAGAAGCTTCCTTTACCACCCCTGCATCTGGAATAACAACACATCAATCAATGCAAGTCATCCCCCTTCTACAAAAAGACACACAGCGCCACCACCCTTCAGCTCTGAACTGAGGGCACCAGCCCCTGTGGCCCTCACACACTCACCAGGGCAGCCATGCTCTCCCCAACAACAGCTGCCACATCCTGAATGTGCTGGTCTTTGGTGAAGATCACCTCTCCTCCTGAGGCCCGGGCCACCTTTTCATATGGTTCAAAACGCAGAGAGGACAAGACCTCACGTCGCACTCGGCTCTGAACTCTTGATGGGTCTTCAGTCACCAGGAATGTTACCTATGGCCAGAATAAAACCCAGTGCTTGGGGTATCCAAGTGGCACTATTAAAATGAGGATCCCTGTGCTCAGGCTTTCTTCAGAGATTATGATTAGCAGTAAGTTCTCTCCATTACCCTCTTGCTGCTGCAGTAGGTTCTTCCAGTGACACAATCCCCTGGCCTTCAGTTAGTTGTTGGCCACCCCCTTATAACTATCAACATTTCACAGTAGATTTTTTTTTTTTGAGACAGAGCTTCAAGCTATCCCCCTGGGTAGAGTGCTGTGGCATCACAGCTCAAGCAACCTCCAACTCTCTGGGCTCAAGCGAGTCTCCTGCCTCTGCCTCCCAAGTGGCTGAGACCACTGGTACCCGCCACAATGCCTGGCTATTTTTTTTGGTTGCAGCCATCATTGTTGTTTGGCAGGCCCGGGCTAGATTCAAACCCGCCACCTTAGGTGTATGTGACTGGCACCTTAGCCACTTGAGCCACAGGCGCCGAGCCTTCACAGTAGATTTTTAACAATCAGATCTCCAGGCAACACCCATAACTCAGTGAGTAGGGCGCTGGCCACATACATCGAAACTGGAGGGTTCAAACCCAGCCCAAGCTAGCAAAAACAACAATGACAACTGCAATGAAAAAAATAGCTGGGCACTGTGGCAGGGGCCTATTGTCCCAGCTACTTGGAAGGCTGAACAAGAGAATCACCTGAGCCCAAGAGTTTGAGGTTGCTGTGAGCTGTGACACCAAGGCACTCTACCCAGGGCTACAGCTTGAGACTATCTCAATAAAAAATTTAAAAAAATCAGATTTCTGGTTCTTCAAATGGTTTATTGGTTATGTTCAAATATAAATTCAGCATCACTAAGGGTAGGATCTCCCATTTTTGAGTATTGTTAAAAATATTAAAAAATGGTACATCCATTTCTCCCACCACATACCAAGGCTGGTTGGGCCACCATAGCATAACATGACCCTTGTTATAAGATTGTCATCGCAGGGTCTCCTACATCCCTGGGTGGCTAACACTGGGTCTCCCACACTATGCTCACCCTGCAACGCCGCTCCTGAGTCAGGGATTCTATCCGGTTAGTAAGAAAGGCATCCTTGGGGGAGGCATCCGTGAAGACAAAGATGTCTGAGAGTGGAGGTGTGTGCAGCAGGGCCAACTGGCAGAGAGGGAAAAAGGATGGTGTTAAAATGGCAAATATCTGCTCTCTTTCTGCCATCTTGGAGCCTTTAGAAGACTACTGGGAACATCACTTCTAAAAGACAAATATGTCTAGAAGGCTGTGGTCCAAGGGCCATTTTTGCTGGCTCCAAGAAGGGAGAGCACACTGCTCTTCTTAATATTAAAGGTGTTCATGTCTGAGATGAAACTGAATTCTATTTGGGCAAGAAATGTGCTTATGTATACAAAGCAAAGAACAACATAGTGACTCCTGGGGGACTGAACAAAACCAAAGTAATCTGGGGAAAGGTAACTGGGGCCCATGGCATCAGTGGCATGGTTCATGACAAATTCCAAAGCAATCTCCTGCTAATACTATTGGACACAGAATCTGTATGATGCTGACCCCTCAAGGATTTAAACTAATGACAAGTAAATAAATAAATGTGGACTTGTAAAAACAAAGAAGTGGCAAGGAAATGAGCAGAACAGGGGTAAGGAGGACAGACAAGCTAGTGGAACCCAATGACAGAGGTTGGGAAAGAGAAGGAGGTGGGGAGCCCTAGGAAAGATCTAGTTCCCTCTAGTGGCAACCTGGAAAGGGGGATAAGAAGGAACAAGGAAGGGAGGGGCCAGACCTCTAGAGCTGACAGGCACATCTCAGGCTCGTCTCCACCCCCCAAGGCGTGGATCTCATTGAGTTGTTGCCAGAAGCTGTCAGGGTCACTGGTCTTAAAGACAGGGCCGAACCCTGGGGAAAGGGACAGGAGATTGAGATGAGTGAGGAAAGAGCTACTCTCAAGGCCAGGCTCGGTGACTCAGGGGTCCTCAAACTTTTTAAACAGGGGCCAGTTCACTGTCCCTCAGACTGTTGGAGGGCCAGACGGCAGGTCCCGAGACAAGTCAGCTGCTAAGCAGGACAGGGAGCAGCAGCAGAAACACCCAGTGGGCCAGATAAATGTCCTTGGTGGGCTGTAGTTTGAGGACGCCTGTCAAACCTCGCACTCTGGGAGGCCGAGGCAGGTGGATTGCCTGAGCTCATGGGTTTGAGATCAGCCTGAGCCAGAGTGAGAACCCCCTCTTCAAAAATAGCCGGGCGCTGTGGTGGGCGCCAGTAGTCCCAGCTACTTGGGAAGCTGAGGCAAGAGAATCACTTGAGCTCAGGAGTTTGAGGTTGCTGTGAGCTGTGATAGCACCAAAAAAAAAAAAAACAGGGCGGTGCCTGTGGCTCAGTGAGTAGGGCACTGGCCCTATATATCACGGTGGCGGGTTCAAACCTGGCCCTGGCCAAACTGTAACAAAAAATACAGGCGTTATGGCGGGTGCCTGTAGTCCCAGGTACTTGGGAGGCTGAGGCAAGAGAATCGCCTAAGCCCAAGAGTTGGAGGTAGCTGCCAGCTGTGAGGCCGCACACTCTACCGAGGGTGACAAAGTGAGACTCTGTCTCTAAAAAAAAAAAAGAACTTCTCTCATTCCTACCCACACTCACCTTCCCAGTTAAGAAGTCCACTGTGCTCCAGGGATGAACAAGTTTTCTTTTTTTGTTGTTTGTTTTTTTGAGACCAAGTCTCACTCTGTTACCCTGAGGTTGAGTGCTGTGGTGTCATAACTCACAACAACCTCAAACTCTTGGGCTCAAGCAATTCCCTTGCCTCAGCCTCCCCAGTAACTGGAACTATAGGAGCCCACCATAACACCTGGCTATTTTTAGAGATAATGTCTCACTCTTCCTCAGGCTGATCTTGAACTCCTGAGCTCAGGTGATTCCCTCCCAGAATGCAAGGATTATAGGTGTGAACCACTTCACCTGGCCAGTGGACTTTTTTTTTTTTTTTTTTTAGACAGAGTCTCAATCTGTAGCCCTGGGTAGAGTGCCATAGCGTCATAGCTCATAGCATCCTCAGACTCCTGAGCTAAAGTGATTCTCTTGCCTCAGCCTCCCAAGTAGCTGGGACTACAAGATGCCCACCACAACACCTGGCTATATTTTTGCTTGCAGTTGTCATTGTTGTTTTAGCTGGATTGGGACAGATTTGAACCCACCAGCTTCAGTGTATGTGGCTGGCACCCTACCCATTGAGCTATAGGCACTGCCAGTAGACAAGTATTGAAAGAACAATATTCCCATACACAGTAGAATCTCTGTAGTTGACCGCTTCCCTGTACTGACCTAAAGTTGACCTACTTTTCATAGACCAGACATGCACCACATGTACGTATTGGTATAGTAGGCCTAGTTCCTTCCGTTGACCATTTCTGTGTGTTGACCAGCTTATTACAGTTCCTCGGTGGTCAACTTAGAAAGGATCTACTGTATTTATATAGCTCCTTATACTTGTCAGTGTGGGGTAGAACAGGGCAGGACTAAGTGCCCTGTGGGAAAGTCCACTCTCTAAACATAATAGAAAATAATAAGACAATAATAGCACTTATTTCAGAGGCTTATTGGGAGGACAAACTGAGTTGATTCTATATATCCTAGAATAATGTCTTCATGCATAATAAGCACTAAATTATTATTGTTGTTATTATTTGAGACAGAGTCTTGCTCTGTTGTCCTGGGCATAGTGCTGTGGCATCATATCTCACTGCAACCTCAAACTCCTGGGCTCACAGGATCTTCCTGCCTCAGCCTGCTGGGACTACAGATACCACCACCATCATATCTGGCTAAGTTTTCTTTTCTTTTCTTTTTTGAAACACAGTCTCGCTCAGTTGCCCTGGGTAGATTGCCATGGCATGATAGCTCACAGCAACCTTAAACTCTTGAGCTTGAGCAATCCTCTTGCCTTAGCCTCCTGAGTAGCTAATACTACAGGTGTATGCCACAATGACCTGCTGGGTTTTCTACTTTTAGTAGACAGGGTCTTACTCTTACTCAGGCTGGTCTCTTACTCCTGAGCTCAAGCAAACTACCCACCTCAGCCTCCCAGAGTGCTGTGTACTGTGACCCACTGTGCCTGGCCCTTGCTAAGTTTTCTGGGTTTTTTGTAGGTTGTTAAAAAAGTAGATGGGGTGGCGCCTGTGGCTGAAAGGAGTAGGGCACCAGCCCCAATACTGCAGGTGGTAGGTTCAAACCCAGCCCCGGCCAAAACTGCAAAAAAAAAAAAAAAAGAGTCATGAGGCTCACTGCCTCATCAGAAGCCTTTATTCCTTGCTCAGGTTGGTTTTGAACTCCTGAGCTCAAGGGATCCTCCTGCTTTGGCCTCCCAGAGTGCTGGGATTACAGATTAAGCCACTGTGCCTGGTCAAGCATTAAATTCTTTTTTTTTTTAAGACAGAGCCTCAAGCTGTCGCCTTGGGCAGAGTGCCATGGCATCACAGCTCATAGCAACCTGCAACTCCTAGAGTAGCTGCCTGGAGTCTCCTGCCTCCACCTCCCAAGTAGCTGGGATTATAGGCGCCCACCACAATGCCCGGCTATTTTTTGATTGCAGCCGTCATTATTGTTTGGCAGGCCAGGCTGGATTCGAACCCGCCAGCTCAGGTGTACGTGGCTGGTGCCTTAGCCACTTGAGCCACAGGTGCCAAGACAAGCATTAAATTCTTAATCATTCATATTTTCATCAAACATGTAATAAGTCCCTATTAAATGCCAGCCACTATAAGATTTATGCAGACAAAGACTCAAACCCCTGTCCTTAGGGAATTCTCAGTCCAGTAGGCATTTTATCTGATTATCGTTTCAACCCAGGTGTTAGGCAAGATTGACTCATTTTATGGATGATGAAATTGAGGGAAAAGAAGGTTAAAAGACCAGCCTAAGGACACAGTAAGACTGGTAGACCCAAGGCCAGATAGTCCTATATTAGAAAAAGAATACAATATAACTAGCTATCTCAGACATTTCCCAGAGGCCTAACTTTACCAACCCCCATCTTCAGCCCAATCATGTCTGCAGGAAATAAAGAGAATTGAAAATGGCTTTTGAGGCTCGGCGCCTGTGGCTCAAGTGGCTAAGGCGTCAGTCACATACACCTAAGGTGGCGGGTTCAAATCCCCAGCCCAGGCCCGCCAAGCAACAATGATGGCTGCAACCAAAAAAATGGCCAGGCGTTGTGGCGGGCACCTGTAGTCCCAGCTACTTGGGAGGCTGAGGCAGGAGACTCGCTT